ATGCCTTTTAAGTATCAAACAAGGTTTACATGATTTTTCTCTCTTTTATATAATTTCTTCCTTCGATAGTAATTGATTTTTTGGATGCAAAACTAACCTTGCCTTCATACCAAAAAAACCCAACCAGGTTGTTTGTTTATTCAGTTTTCAATTTATTAATTTATTTATCTTTTGTATCAACAATCATGTGTAATTTATTTCTTATGATGACCTTGCCATGTTTTATTATCAAAGTCATTCTTYCTTTATACATTGGATGGCACAGTGTCTTGCTTTCTTCCAATCTCAGGAAGAGTTTAAGCAAAGTTAGAGTTAATTATCTCCCAGATATTTTGGTAGATTTTGTCAGTAATGCCTCTGGATTTTAATTTTCTGGTGGGTAATTTTTAATTCTGGATTCAATACATAAGATATAAGACCTTTCAAATTTTCTGTTTCTTCCAGCAGAAATGTTTCTAATAATTTAATCATATCTTTATTTTCAAATCTATTGACATAAAATTGTATTTAAGATTCTCTTGTTCTCCTTCTAACACCATAATACCTATACAATGTACCCTTTCTATTTCTGCTATTGTATTTTTAGGTGTTTTCTGATGTTATCTTGATTAGTCCTCATACTAATTTGTAGTTTTTTAAAAGGCAAATTTTCTTCTCTATTATATTTTTGTCTATTTTAATAATTTTTACTCCTATATTTTCTTCAGGTTGGACTTGCAGATTTTTTAACATTTTAAAATTCATGAACAATTCATTTCTTTTTCATCTTCTTTGCTTATACATTACATGTAATCAATTTCCTTCTTGATACGATTTTATCTGTATTCTATCAATTATCAAAACTTGTGGAATTTTAATATGGAGTATTGTTATTGTGATCTAGTTCAATTTTTTTTTAATTTCTTTTATAATTTTTCTTGAGTCCATGGCTGTTTTTGTTTGCTTTTTGATGCTGTGACCAAAATACCTAACAAGAACAAATTAGAGGAAGAAAAGTCTGTTTGGGGCTCATGGTTTTCTAAGTCTCRATCCATAGATGGCTGACTCCATTGCTCTGGGCCCAAAATGAGGCAGGAAGGCTATCATGTTGAAAGGATTCAGTAGAAGAAAAGTACTTAGCTCGTGGCAGAGTAAGGAAGCAGAGATCAGGAGAGAAGAGGCCATAGGGACCGTACAAGGTTCCAGGGTACATCCCCAATACCCCACGTCCTCCAGCTATACCTCACCTGTCTATGGCTACCTCCCAGGACATGCAAACTAGACAGGCTTTATAGCTCTCACAATCCAGTCATTTCTCCTCCAAACACTAATTCCTGCATAAATGCAGGCACTGAAGGGGGAAATCTTATATCCAAACCATAGCAAGGGCTATGTATTTATTAATTTCAAAACATATGAGTATTTTGTGGTTTTCCTCATGCCCATTGTCTAGACAAGCTCTGGATTCCAATTTTTATAACCACCTAACTTTGAAGGCTTTTTTTTTTWAAAGATATTGCTAGATTATCAGTCTCTTTACTTTTTTTTTTAATTTGCATATGCTTCTTAGGGAAAAATAGTCACATACACAAGGTGCCCTGAGTTGTATTCTCACTCAAAATTTTGTTCCTCTGATTTTTTTTATTGCTTCTTTACCCTGCAAATGCTTTTCTATGTTCCTTTTTTTTTTTTTTTCTTGGTTGCCAGTAGCAGAAGGGTTTTTTTGTGAACTGTCGAGTCCAGCATTATAAGAGTTAGAAGTCAAGACTTACATTACTTTTAACATTTTATTTCTAGGTGCATATATCAAGTAAAATACCCTTTTTTGGATTCTACAGATATATTTGAAATTTCAAATTTATATATTATATACCATTGATGAAGACACTGAACAACTATTCTTTCACATTGGTGAAAACAACACTAATCAGGGATAAAGACTTTAGGAAAGCAAACCTCCAGCTAGCCTTTTCAGTCATAAATTTATTCTTCTACTTATACATACAGCTCTTTCCATTTTTAACTATATCTTGTTGATATTTTATTTTATTTTCAATTAGTTATTTTGCTCAGAAAATCTCCATATGGACTTAAAAATATTTTCTTTTGCTTTCATCTTTTAAAAGTTGTTTGAAAATTTATTTTGCTTTGAAGAAGAGAGTTTCTAAAATGCATTATAGCCCCTCTTGGAAAATGTATTCCATATAGCGGAGGTTAGCCTGTTCTGAGTACATTGCATTAGGAAAATAGCTCAAAATATGACCAAAGGGTGTGTTGACGTTATGTTTAAGATGTAGCGATATTACATAGTGAGAACTAGTGAATAGAATAAAAGGATGTCTGATATTATAGTTGATTGTATCCTGTTTAGTCATTAAATATACTGATGGAAGAAGGGAAGTTAGTATTATATCTCTGATTTATTTCTACTGTGAATATATGCCTAATTTATTTTAGAAGACCTATTAATATTTTATGTTTAGCCTGTATGAGTCTGATAGGGCTTCTACAACAAAATACCCATAGATTCAGTGATTTAACAGAAATGTATTTCCTCACAGACCAAGAAGCTGAACGTGACTTTGGTTCAAGAGAGTTAGCTTCTCCTGAGGCCCCTACACTTGATTTACAGATAGTTTTCTTCTGGCTCTGTCCTTATATAGCCTTTCCTCTGTGAAAATACAGGCCTGGTGTTTTGTTGTTTTTTTTTTCTCATAAGAACACCAGTTATATCAGAATAGGGACCCATTTTTCACTTGATTTTACTTTAATTCTTCAAAGCCATACCTTCAAATACTGTCACATTGGGGATCAGAGTTTTAAGACACAAATTTTAGAGAGAAAAAAATTCACCATRTAACACAGCATATATTCACTCAACAAATATTTATCTACTTAATTTGAGTCAGGGAGTGTTCCTGTATCAGGGATTATATTATAAGGGAGAAAAATAAAATATATGAGATATATTGAATTATTATTTATAAAAAGTTAAGGGAAATGAGCATCTGTATATCAGAGAAAACATTCTGTCTTTTGTTTGGGGGTATTGGCTTATTTCACTTAGCAAGATATTCTCCAGCTCCATCCATTTACCAGCAAATGCTATAATTTCATTCTTATTTAAGACTGAGTAATATTCCATTGTGTATATGTACCACACTTTCTTTATCCATTCATCTTCTGAAGAGCACCTATGTTGGTTACATAGCTTAGCTATTGTGAATTGAACTGCTATGAACATTGTTGTGGCTTTATCACTATAGTATGCTGATTTTAATTCTTTTGGATATTTGTCAAGGAGTGGGATRACTGGGTCAAATGGTTGTTTCATTCCAAGTTTTCTGAGAAATCTCCATACAGCTTTTCATAATGGTTGCAATAACTTGTAGTCTCAGGAGTCTCATCCTCACCAACATTTATTGTTGTTTGTATTCTTGAAATTACCACTCTAACTGGAGTGAAATGAAATGTTAGAGTAGTTTTGATTTATATTCCTCTAATTGCTAGTGATATTGAACATTTTTTTCTTGTATTTGTTGATCAATTGTATTTCTTCTGTGAAGTGTCTGTTCAGTTCCTTAGCCCATTTATTGATTGGGTTATTATTTTTTTTGGTGTTACATTTTTTTAAGTTCTTTATATATCCTGGAGATTAATGCTGTATCTGAGGTGCATGTGGTAAAGATTTTCTCCCATTGTATAGACTGTCTCTTCAAAATGGGCAGGGATGCTAAAGAAGAATAGAGTTGCTTTAGATTAGGTAGAGGGGGGTGAAGGGGAGGGCAGTGGGTATCGGGAAAGCAAGGATAGTAGAATAAATGCTTGATTTCAAGCATTATTATCCTATGTACATATACAACTACACAGCCAGTGTGATTCTTCTTCATGTATAGCCAGAAGAATGAGAAGTTATACTCCATGTATGTACAATGTATCAAAGTGCATTCTATACTCACTCATGTGTAACTAATTACAACAATTTTTAATTTTTAAGAAAACCATGGTTATAGTGTCAGAGTGGTACTTTCTAGAATGTAAATGGGGAGTCAGATAACCCATTCCATAGTGCAATCAAAACAAGATGTTGGCTTAGTTTTTGGCATTAATTGTGGAAGTGATGATACAGGTTTGGGGATATGATTTGAAGGTAAGAATGACAGAATCTGTTACGTGTAAGGAAATTCCTAAGATTTAGTCTGAGAAAGGAGTAATGATGTTATTTCCTGGCATGATGTGAAGTGCATTGGTGGGGAGTTAATTTGGGAGTGAAAATGAAAAGGGTTCTGTTTTAGATGTGATGAGTTTGAGATACCCATTAAAATCCAAGTAGGAATTCTGTAGGCCTTTAGCTATAGTGCTCCAAGAACAGGGGGGCTTAAAAGGTTGTTTCAATACCATGGATGTTACTGAACTGGGGGAACTTGTTGAGGTTACACAGAGTGATAATGTGAACAAAAACTGAAGCAGTGTAAGGACTGAGCCCCAGGACTTTCCAACATTTGAAAAGTGGAAATGAACATTGTGCAATAGATTTTAAGAATAGTTAGTCAACTGGGAATACAAAAAGCAAATGTAATGATGCTGAAGCCAATGGTCACATGTATGATCCCAAGATCTAGAGAATTTACCCCCAAACCAGTTTAATATCTATTCAATTGGAAAGCTGAAAAGTTGTATTAATTATATACATAGCTGTGTTGATATCACCTCGTGAGTGAATGATCAAGCCCTGGAAACAAAGTGTGTCTCTATGACTGTAGTAAGAAGGTAACTAATTCTAGAGTTGAACAGAGAGGAGGAGGAAGTAGCACTTAACCATGGGACATTGAATATTTATCATGCCTATTTTTGACAGAGCCTCTCATAGTCTCATAAAAAAGAATGAAATATAAAGCAACGAAAATATGTTGTTAAAAGTCTCTCACTACATGAAAGTATCTTGGTATTTAATGTGCTTGATTTCAGATTCCCAATAAGTACTTGTTGAGACTCTTTTAATCTCTTGCTTCTTTCCACAGGTGGGGAGGTTCCATATACAACCCTGGCTACCCGAATGATGATGGGGGCTTGGTGGCTATTTGCTTTGATTGTCATCTCATCATACACAGCAAACCTTGCTGCTTTCCTTACTATCACCCGCATTGAAAGCTCCATCCAGTAAGTACACAAAGATTCCAGTATCCACAAACTGTGAAAATGACGCAAGTGGCTAAAGCTATCTGAGAATAAGTATATAGTATCTGATTATGAATTCACAGCCTCCCTTTGAGTAAAAGTTTAATTTTGTGACTTTGCAGTGTTACCACATGGTTCAACTCCTGAAAATACAATATATTTTTTACTATTATTTTATTACTAAAATTTTGTCTATAATTTCAATAGTACTTCCTACATTTTCCTGTAAAGATAATACATTTTCTGGGACAGGATTGTGGCTCAGTGGTAGAGCACTTGCCCAGCATGTGTGAKGCACTGAGTTCAATCCTTGATACCACATAAAAATAAAGAAATTGGGCTGGGGATGTGGCTCAAGCGGTAGCGCGCTCGCCTGGCATGCGTGCCGCCTGAGTTTGATTCTCAGCACCACATACAAACAAAGATGTTGTGTCCACCGAAAGCTAAAAAAATAAATAAATAAATATTAAAATCCTCTCTCTCTCTCTCTCTCTCTGTCTTAAAAAAAATAAAGAAATAAAATAAAGGTATTGTGTCCAACTACAACTAAAAAGAAAAAAAATTAAAGATAACACATTTTCAGAATTTTAATACCCACAAATAATAATAATGTCTGAGAATCATTGTGAAAAGGAAGCAAAAAGGGGTCATACTGAAAAACAATCTTTGCCTTGAGTCTGTCCCATTATGCACTGTTAGAGTGAACAGTTGAATTCACACAGACGATTGAGAGCTTGATCATTGAGGAGTGGGGTAGAGAGATGGCAATTAGCAGAAAAAACTTGGTATTTCAGTAACCACATTCTGTTTGTCTCATCATTACATTATACTTAATGTGGTCATTATTGCTGTTGTTTTCCCAGCTACAGTTGCAGTGGTAGGAAATGGTCATTAACCATGGTGCATGGTACTTAAATCCTTAAAATTACCTAAGTCAGCGCCTCAATTCAAAAATGCTATTTCCATGAACCCTTAAAGCCCAAAGGCCTTTGATTAACCAGGGCCAGTTTTGCTTTATGGTTTCATGTTTTAAGATCAGCTCTACAATGTAATTTGTGCCCTACTAGAACAGCATGTCCATGTATTGTTCTAAGAAAAATTCCCCTGAAGATGTTTTACTCGTATAGAAACAAGGTAGTTCTAATTTTCCTACTTCTCAAAATCTGGCAATGTAATATTAGAAAAATTAGAAATATTAAAGAATTTCTTAGGGATTTAACTTTTAAAACAGCAAAGTTCTTGCTTTAAAATATATATATATAAGTGAAGTCCATTAGAAGCCATAAAACCATTGTAGTGTAACACTAAAACATAAAATTAAGAATTGATTATCTCTAAAGGAGTAGGATATTTTTCTTTAATTGAAAACCCAAAATTCAACTAACAGTGCTAACAGGCAGTCAAATATTTCATCCATTGATGAAAATGGTATTTCCAATTTCTCTCATCAAATCATCCTCCTCAGGTTATTTTTCAGTTATTCCTTTCACACAGAACCTTCTTTCTCTCCCAACCGACTTTATCTTGTAGCCAGCCCTATGGATAGCAGAAATAATAGATGGTCCTGATTGAGGCTCAGGGAGGTTAAACTGATGACCCCACCAGCATTATTGTGAGCAATAACGAAAGTGATTACAACCATCTAGCCAGAATATCAACAAAGGTACTAAAATCTTAAAAGTGATAATTAACATTTTTCGATCACTTGAAAGATATTAGACTTTCTGCTAAGTATTTTAGATGCATTGGTTCATTTAATATTTTAACCATCTTCTAAAGTACATACTATCAATAAGTCATTGTACAAGTAACAAAGCTAAACGTTGAGAGGATAAGGAACTTCCCAAAGCCATGGCACTGATTGAGTAAGGACCAGACCTTGAATCTATCTGATTCCTGATGAACCTATATTCTGAATGACCCACGCTAGATCTCATTCCCCTTGAACTTCTGGCCCTAGGTTTTCATAGTTTATTAGAGAGAGTGATCCTTTGCTAAGTATTTTCTAAATCTTCAGCTGGACAGACAAAACAGAGGAAACTTTAATGTTGAGCCATAACTGTAGGCATACATCCAACCCTGGGCTATTTATACCCATAACTGATGTCTGCCATTTGGAGTAAAATACTTTGACATATCCTATTAATACAAATTACATTGGGAAAAAATAGTGTTAAATAATTGTCAAATAAAGGTAATATATATTTAAGTCATATATTTTGATGATTTGACATATATACATTGTGCAATAATGAACACAATCAAGTTAACTAATGCACCCATCAACATCCACACTATACATTAAATCCTCAAAATTTGTTCATCTTGTGACTAGAATTTTGACAGACAACTCCCCATTTTTGCCTCCTTATACCCTCTGCCAACCAGGGTTATCTCAGCTTCCAAGTTTTCACTTTTTTAGATTCTACAGATAACTGAAATCATATAGTAGTTGTCTTTCTGTGTCTGACTTATTTCACTGATTAAGACCTTCAGGTTCATCTTTGTTGTCACAAATGGCAAAATGGTCTTTAAAATTAAAATGGAGTGCTTTATTTCATTAAGATACTTCTTATTAATTATGTTTAACTTTAACATTTTTGATATACTGAAAGCTAGAAATCTGTGTAGTTTACATCTAGCTCTAAAGCTTTTTTAAATAAGTAAATGAAAATTTGAAAAAATAAATGAGTTTATATAATAAAGAACAATAATCATAGTAGTAAACAAAAATCATGGCTAACATTTATTGAGGATTTATTATGAACTATTATTTTATCATTTACTGTTCAAAACATCTGTAATAATAAAAGGACTTCTATCATTACTATTTTATTATTGATGAGCAAACAGACTGGAAAGGTAAATGCTCAAGACACAGTTAACAAGTGTCAGAACTGGGAGTCTAATCACATTACTCCAATGACAACCTATGACCTTATCTGCTAGTCTTTTCCCTGTCTAGTGGTGGTTTCTACAATTTGCTTCATCTGTCATTTCTCTGAAGTTGCAGACATCACGGCGTGTGTTTGTATCTAAGCTACTTAGTTATTTATTAATTTCAATAGCAACAATTTGTCTCTAGACTTTCATGCAATAACTGGGAGCTGAAACTATTTTCGAATTTTAAACCCCTAAGATTTCTCTAAAAGTAAAACCTAATAGGAAAAGATTGTAATATCACATGATGTTTCCCTCAAGTGTAGTTCTACAATCCAAAGTAACTGAACATTTATTTTAAAAAAATAACTATTTCTTTCCAGTGCCAACTGGCACTATAAAAAGTAATCAGTGAGTATAATAAATCTTCACTCCCTTCTAGTATTATCACTGGACTAATTTTAGAAGGAGAGAATCAAAGCCAAATAAGTTAAAAGAAGTCTGATTCCCCAAATTTACAAATATCTTCTATTTCATGCCTCAGCTGTGTTGGTAAACATAATTGTGTACAATATTTCTTGCAAACAAAGTTCCATTTGTAACTAATGATGAAGTTTCTTAAAAAAAATTTAATTTTTCTAGAAAGTCCCAAAACTTTTATTTTACAATACCACTCAATGGCATGCTTCTTAATCATTGATATTCGTAAGACTTTCTCATCAGGAAATGAAGCAGCGTGTGTCAGTGTGCCTTTTTCCAGCCTAATTTTGCTATGCCATTAGCAAGTGTATACCAAGCATATCTTCATTCCCAGAATTCAGTTCCTTCTCCAGATGAGGATGGGCATAGAGGAATGTCCCTAAGAAAGAGGAAAGTCTGTTCCTGCTGAATAAATGGTTGATGTAAAGTCTCACAGTTGGTAGGAGAGATCCAATGGATTTATCTGGGGAAAATTGAATAACTTTAATAAAATATTATCCCTTTTTCAAAATTAGTTAACTGATGGCATCTAAACTTCTAGTTGCTACTTGCCATTAATAAAAAATTTTAAAAATGAATTCTTCCTCTACAAGATAATCCAAAAATTCAATTTTCATGTCCCTTCAATGATGGTGGCAGTACAACGTAAGGATATTCTGGCTGTGTGATATGAAATAGTGTAACAGATTGTGATACAGCTGGGATTGGCAGTATTGAGATACACAGCTCAGTTTCTAAAGGAAAAAAGATGCCATTGCCATACGAAGCTAAGGACAATTTGGACTTTTTCATTCTCATTGAAAGGTAAAAACATATAGACATTAAATGGAACGTGTGTATTTCTGTTGGCCCTCAGGCTAAAAGTGGCAATAGTGAAATGTGTTTGGGGGAGCTTTGGAGGTACTTGCAGAATAAACACTGGGTAACAACATCATCATTAGCTCCATTTGCCCTTATTGTAATGTAATTTCCAAAAAGCTACTTATTCCACATGAGAGGAGACATAGCTATGGGGAATTCATAGTTCTACGGTTACATTTACTAATAACTTTAGAGAAAGACTGGGCTCTGGTGATTGAAATTTGTTTTCATTCCTTGAAGCTAAAAGCAAGCTTGAGTCTTTTCAAAAGAATCCCAACATCCCACCATATTTTTGTGTTTGATGCACTCATTGTCCATGATGCTTGAGGCTGGACTAAACAAAATATGGAGTCAGTGCTGACACAGACAAACTAACTGAGATAACATTTCTTTCCAAGAAGACACTGAATCAGTACATACATTTTTTTCTCACTAGAGGAAACCCTTTTTCCCAAGCATACCAATACAAGAAGTTTGCACAAACATTTTTCTACATTTGGAAATATGAGCAATTTTTTTTTCAGTGCTACACGGTATGCTTTATCTGAGGCTCAGAAATCTAAGTAAGTCTGTCAACAAGTGTGATTGTAAAATATGGGTACAGGTAGAATGGTAGAAACTGACAGACGACCCTCTAATGAGAAGGAGATTGGGACTGAAACCTGAATGCATGGTAAGACTTGTTTAGGAATCTGGTATTTCTCCCGGGAGATAATAGAGAGTGACAAAATTTAAGACAGAGATTTATCAATCTAAAGAAG